GGGGGGCGATATTCCTAGGAATATCGCCCCCCTTTTGAGAGGGGGGGCGAATCTCCTGGGGGGGGCGAATCTCCTGTGACACCGCCACTGAAATGCGTCATCCACGTGTCTGTCCTAATAGATATCATAGCTCTCGACTAATGAAAAGACATTTTATAAACGCATGCAGATTACATTTTACACTTTATATGAAACTACATAGTAAATTCTCAAGAATGAATCACAAACACTTGCATGACCATGCGCACATTTATTTCACGACGCCAATAACAAAACATGTTAATTGTTTGGCGGGATCCAGTTTAATAATTTTACCCGCAGTTTTCAAAAAACATCGGAAATGTCCGGAACTGTCCGGCAAACATTCGTAATCCACAAGTCTATCACATAATTTATTTTTTCACTGTTTATTTTTTCAAAAAACATCGGAAATGTCCGGAACTGTCCGGCAAACATTCGTAATCCACAAGTCTATCACATAATTTATTTTTTCACTGACTTGCATATTTGAAAATAAATTTCATTGTAAATATAAATAAACCCAGAGTATTTGATAGACCCATGCATGCAGTGTGTTTTATATTGCTGTAAGCAAGGAATAATGCAGTGTAACAGGAGCGGCTAAAATGGGCCAAAGCGCTATTATGTCCATATTGATTTGGTGTAAATTTATTTCACACAATTATTTTGGACAAAAACGAGGCTTATCACAACTCGTTCTCATATAGAACCTGGTAAATAATAATCATTTTCCACACATAAACGATAAATATTCGGTATTCGTATTGCATGACGCAGGCTGGAACATACATATAGCCACCCGTAAGGCCGACATTAGCCATGACGTGTTAAAACGCCCACAAACAAAACTTCAATCTTATTGGCGTCCTGGTGGGTAGCAACGGGAGAAACAAAACATTGTTCGAAGCAAAACAATTTGTACCTAGCAACAGCAAAACTCTCTATATCTTTCTTTCTATATCTTTCTTTGAACACTTTATATAATACTTTTATATATAGATAGAACTGCAGACAATTGTTAGCTATACATATCAACCACTTTGACATTTCGACGTCTATCTACTGATTACGTCCAGTTGATTATATTCGTCAGTGGCCGGTTGTTCAAAGCACAATCAGCGGTAACCTTGGATTAAAGTTTAATCATTTGTGTATTTGTTTTCAAGTCCGCGCATTTCCATACTTCAGGAAATAAAACTTCTATCTGGAAAGGATTTCTTGTAAACTATTTCTAAGTTTATAAAATCTATTGCGAAGTGTGTTTTTGATGTTTCTCCTTAACCCAGGATTAAGCTAACGGATTTCGAACGTACAACGGGCCCCAAATCACTAAAGCTACATGGCACACATGTTTTAAACTTAATCAGTGAACATAACATTGTAATTTAGATAAAGTTATAACGAGCAAAACAATTATATAAAAATAATAGTTTAGAACTTTTCCCAAGGTTATATCAACAAACGAACAAATAATGAAATGAAAATGTCAGTTTCATTAACTTTTCGTTTATTTCAAAACGTTCTTCCAACATTTGAACCTGTCTATGACGTGTTGTAGGTGAAACTGGTCAAATGAAATTTTATTGCGACATTATAATGCATGTGGCCGCATAAATATCCCAATGATACAAGTTACGCATATTTAATTTGTGTTTCAAAATAACTCGCACAGCATTTTGGCAGAACAGGCAACAAGTTAAGAAAGAAATGTATTTGATTCATTTAAAGAGAAGCTTGATATTGCACTTTTTGTAGACCTATGATTTTTTTCCGTGGCGTAGCAGTCACTTGAGGTCGCTGGATATAGATCTCTCGTTCAGGATAATCAAGTGACATTGTAGGAACCAATTATATTCATAATTTATGATGCAGTGTTAGTATCGAGAAAGACTTAATAATCAAGAAAAGATCATTGATTTACTATCTAAAATATTCTTTTTATAATCAGTATTATTAGCAATTTAACATTTAGGAGAGCACAGTTTACATTGTAGGCTACTTGCATTGCAATCCGCTGACGAACTGGATCCTGCTATTGTTATTTTAATTCCTGTTTAATACCTGCTGTCATGAATCGTTTCATTGACACTTTTTGCTCAGTAAGGTATTTTTATATCTTAGCAACAAAACAAATATAATAGTCAAGTATATTCATTCCCTTGATCTTTGCATGGGAAACATCTGCTGCATGATAAGAGAAACATTTGCATGAAAGAAAATTCGTTGTTTAAAGCAATGGAAATTTAAAAATAGAGAACAATTAGAAAAAATTAAATAAATTGAAGGCGGTGGGGAGGAGACAATGTTCGATATACAAAGCGGCGCGATGTCTCGTGCGGCAACATCATAACCTGTTCTTCGCACTATCCAGCACGAACACGAAACTCTTTGAACATGTGCCGAATTAAATCATTTACATTGGCCTATAGGACATTGAGACGGGGTGGGGCAAAACAGACACAATAAGCTACGAAAACTAAGGCCTGTTTCAAACGTCGCGCTTCTCATATGCCAAACGCATTAGAAACAATAGATAGTGAGGCATTTCAGCTGATTATCTATTGTTTTTAATGCGTTCGGCACATGAGAAGCGCGACGTTTGAAACAGGTCTAAGTCGGGTTCAGTTTGAGTTATCACGAACTTGGGTTCCTTTTCTGATTTGTAAATGCACCTAACTCAGGTTCGATCTTGGTTAGTTTAAACCCTATTTCAGAGTATGGTTAGTATTCGTTTATAGTGAATTCCGGGCGTTTCGGTACAAAATGTATTGAGATTTGAGTACAACTATGAAACTTTTGCCTTGAACCCCCTCCCCCCTTGAAATGACATACCATTCGTGCGCTGATGATAATCACGTGATCGTTCCGCAGCTCACGAGTAATCCACTATAATACTCAAACTTTAGGAATACACTCCAGTTTTAAAGAAATTCTACTAGTATAATATTTGAATTAAATCTATTGATAAATTTTATTAATATTTTTCATAGAGTACAGAACTGTTATTCAAGGCAAACTTTTCATATTCTTGTGTCAAAATGACTCAGAAATTGGAAAAATTGCGCTTAAGCTGTGCATTTACAGTGTCATCTCTTGCTATTTTTTTCAGTTCACATCGTTACATTAAAAAAGAACTGGCGCAAAAACATTAACCGCGTATTAGTCCTACAAAACAAACAAAGTGTTGAACTGTCCGCTTTTGTGAATTAAATATGAGCCATAAGCGCCAATTGTCTCGGGAAAACTAGTAGAATGTGAAAGAAAACCACTAAAGAACCCATTTAATTTTCTCTTAAGAAACCCTATCCTGTTTTTGTCGGTCAATTTTTTAAAAATATAATTAATGACGCATATACAACGTTGAAGCTGGAACAATCACGAACGCGCTACTATAAACTGCAGTAAGTAAAAAAAGGGAATTGTATTTCTCCATTGCAAAACACAAAAGCAGGTGCACTATATACTACTCAACTGTAATTGAATAAATAAATACTGAAATGAGTAATTGTGATACTTGAAGTATCTCAAGTCATTTAACACGCGGAAGCAGAAAGCGGCTATATTAACAATTTTAATTTTACTAGCTTTGTCACAACGTTAAGATTACATAACAATGAGGTCAAAACATAAACTTGAGGTTAGGCCGACAATATATCTTAACTGCTTTCGAAACATAAATATCGCTTGTGGTTAGAAATTAAAGGCTCCGGTCCATAGTAACCATAACATAGTGTACACGCAGTTAGTTCTGATTCATGACTTCTGGCACATCTTTGCAGACAAAACCATTTCTACAGGCTAACAGATATAAACACAAGTAAGTATACATTTTGAAACAATCGTTACTGTTTGAAACAGACTTTTAATTGGTTTTTAATTTTAAATTAATGCAAAGTGTTGTTATTGCGTTGCAGCGTTGCAGCTGATGCATTTATATATCGTCAATTAACGTTGTTCCCCGTTTATGGAAGAAGAGAGGAATCCGCGATGGAGCATTGCAAAATAATATACCTCCTATATATCCTTGGATGTCTTTCAATATTCTTGGACATTTCTCACGCGAGAGAAGATTCCATCCGTATTCCAGTATCAATAAGTCCACTAGTACAACTTCCATATATCGATTTTTTATCGAACACAACTCGTTTATTTTATGAAATGGACAAAGACTTTTACTCGAAAGTAACAACTCTCGATGTGGCAAGAAATGCAGATAATGACATTTCTGAAACAATAAAGAAAAAGATAGAAGTCGTTTTCCTTATTGCGGCTTCATCTCACGTTTCAAAAACGTTAACACGAAAGGAACTTACGTACCCAAAGCGGAGTAGTAAGTGGTCTTACAAGATTCCTGTTACGGAATTATTGAGCGAATCTAATGAAAGTTTATACAACCTTACCGAGCTTCAGATCTACAAAATCCAAGAATTGGCAATGAAAGTTCTGGCAAGAAGATACGGATTCAGTGTGGACTTCATTCTTCAAAAGCATCGTATGAATCTGATGAAATTTTACGCTGCGGACGAAGAACAGTGGATCAAGATTGTTGGCACAATAACTGAAATTGTTATAAAAAACAGATCTAAACAGTTGAATTTAACTCCGTGTTATTTGGCAGAACTTATTAACAAAACACAAGAAGAGATGGAAGGATTCACACTTGAAGAAGTTGACATGTATCTTAGCAATGTCACTGTGCTACATGAAAAACTACAAACTTATCGAAATGAAACAATGCGTAGTTTTTATGAAGGATTCAGTATCACGCCTACACAATTGGCTAAGATGAGCAATATCAACATTCCTATGATCAAAGCAATGGGAGTAAGAGATACCGTTCTACTATTGACGAGAACTATTTTGTTAAAACTTAAGATTAGCAAAATACCTATGCCTGAGAACGAAACCATCTGTCGTTCACAATGGAACTCGTTCCGAGACGTGGCGATTACTGAAGCATTTGAGAAACAAGCCCGAGAAATGTCCATCATACCAACAACACTGGGAGATCTTATTCGAGTACCTTATAATGATATTAAAAGATTATCTTTGTTGAAGATGATCCATCTTATTAAAGTTGTTATCAGTCCCGTAAAAGAAGACAAAAGGAAGATCGAAAAGTTCACATTATCAATGTTGAAAACCATTTACACTTCCAAAAGGCTGAATACTAAAAAGTACAATGCCATCTCCTTAATAAAACGTACAACCAAGCTCGGAAAACGTAATTTAAAGTTGTTATACGGATGGAGATCCCGTGATTATCATTTTGCAAGATTGTTTTCTGTCAAAGATCTGGGCGACGAATGCACGATTGACATAAACAAAAAAACACTACTTTCACTGGCCAAAATTAACATTGGTCAAACCACTGAAGACATCACCTGCACAACTTTCTACGCATTAAGGCTGGTTTGGGGCCAAGCAAGTCTGAGTGACTTGAAAAAACTATATTACCCAAACACAAGAATCTCATTAGATGAGCCTATTGCAGCTACAGTAGGCAAGCTCACAAACTCGTCTATCAAAATGAGTTGTCGTGTTTTAAGTAAAACACCCATAATCCAGTGGCTGTTGCAACAAATAACTCTGAACAATATCTCAGAGATGACAAACTACACAGATACTTATTTGCAGGAAATTCCCATACAACGGATTATCCTTATATTTCACGAGTTGTTCAACGCTGGTTCGTTTAACTCAGCTATACAAGTAAGTTTTAATTAAAATCGTATTGGGTGAAAACTAAAATACTAACACTACTAACTGCACTCACTGCACTCACTGCAAACGTATAAACATTCTGCACGCACCTAATGTCTAATATAAAGTTCACTTTAACGTATAGTATAAAAATAATCCATATGCACTTAGGTTTTCAAAACCATTAATTATTCAACGGGAGTGAGTGCAGGCAACTACACAGAAGAAATATTTACTAAGTCCATTGGACATGCCAACTCAACTCTAAGTACATTGGACATGGAAAGCCAACAGCACATCCAAGGTGCTGAATACATTGGACATGGAAAGCCAACAGCATATCCACGATCACTATCAAAACAACATCTACCAGGTTTGTCCTTTTTCTGCCTGAAAATATCCTTAAATTTCGTAGCCAAAACTTGTTAAGGTAATTGACTAAACACCTGCATAGACTTGCTTGTGTCACATACCATTCACTCAACTCACATGCGTGAATGGCACACGTGACATATAGGCTAAGACTGTACATAGTTGAAGACCACATGCGCCTGCAAATATCCCCAGCTATATATGACGTCGTAACTTCAAAAACTTATTAATAATTATGAGGAAAGCACAAAGAAAAAATGATAAGCATGTCGTATCTTTATATGCGATAGAGATTTCTACATAAACTTAATTTAACTTTGATTTTCTCGACTTACACAACGTATTTTTTGCAAATTACTTCGCCAGTGAACTTACTAGATCGATCGTTTTTGAAGCAATTTAAAACATTCGCAGTGCGTGTTTTATCAGACCTAAAGATACTCGGCTTCGCCTCGTACCTTTATATCTGATAAAACACTGCTGCAGCGTGCTGCTCATGTTTTAAATAGTACATCAAACATTTAACAAAAAATCGGCTCTATGCATGTGCACTCGCGTTCACCACCGTATATACAGATATCAAAGCAACTATAGATTGAACTAACTTGACCTTGGTAGAGCATTCGACTACAAAGCAAGCCAAAAGTCGCGCATTCGATTCCTATACCTATATATACATGCAAGCAATTTTTCAGCTTGCCGGGTATGGAGACACTCAGAGTAGCATCCATCAATGTTCAAAAATGCAACAATAATATACTAAATGAAGAGCGTTTTCTCTAAATACCAAGTGTCTTGCATAAACCCTGTATGGGTGATAAGATTTATATATGTTGGGGAACTAATAAAATGCACAGTAAATGTAAATTAAATAACAACTAATATATATTATTAATGAATGATATAATTGTACTTATTCAACTCACCTAAGAAACTTTGATTTCAATTTCCATAGTTTTACTTCAGTTTCAATTTCACCATGTAACTAATCATTCTCGGGTTTTTTCTTTTTAGACATTGCAACATTTGTGACTTTGTTAATCGCAGCATCGTTAAATTCATGGGCAACATCTTGGTGAATGGGTTTTGGTGCAAAGATATATTCAGCTACAAAGAAAATTACACATGCAGTTTCAATGAATTCTGAGAAAATATAAAGGTTTTTACAGCCTTAACATCTAAGTTCACAAAAATGATAGAAGAACGCAAAGTAAACGCAAAGCACAAAATACAAATCTAAGTAAAATAACTGTAAATTCCCTTGCTATGACACCTCTTTCAATGAGCCACTCCCTTTTTTAATAATACATTTTTAAGTGTACCCCTGGGGAAGTTTACATGATCCCATACAGAAAAGGAAATGTTAGCAGAGAATAGACATTCATTCATTCATTCATTCATTCATTCATTCATCAAATTCATCTCAAAAATTTAACAATCCAATCCTGCTTATTATAAAAATATTTAAAAATGTAACTGTGCGGATAACAATGCTGCAGGCTTCAAAATTATCCTAATATTCTTATATTAGGATAATTTTTAAGCCTGCAGCATTGTTATGCATGAATATTTATGCGTGGATATATTATGTATAATCATTTTGGCTAAAACATCTTTTCGTTAGCTGGGAAAACTGAGCAGGTCAAACACTGCAAATCGTTTCTTTTTTGCTGAAACCAAAAACATGCATGATAGCCGAGTTTTTCTTAAAAAATATTAACGTTCAGAAAAATTCATGTTAAAAATTCCGGAGCATGGTTAATTAGTACCATCACCTGGAACCGATGCCTCAATACCATTGCAGGAGAAGTGTAAATTTCGGTGAAGTTAATTAATTGGTAAGTTTCGGTGAAGACTAGAGAAGTTCAGGTTTGACTTCTGCTACCACGTACTACCTCTCACAGGCTTAAAACGTATTTGATTGGTTAATTGGGTAGATTAAATGCATTGGTAGTGGTAGTGGAAGTTAAAATCTGAACCTCTGTAATACAGGACAGCAGAGGTTGATGAATGTTGAATTAAATCTCTCTATTTTAGTTATTCTCCACAATGCATGGCAATGTTTGTACATTGCATAGAATTAACAGTAATCTCCTATTCCGAAAACTGGCAGTTGATCACCATCTGTTGCACCATATTATCAGAATGCGTCCTGAATTTAACAAGACACATTCTTGACATAACTCGAAATGAGTTATTGTGCACATTTTATATAAGTACATGCACTTTTAAAAAAAAATTACACACAATGCACACGATAAAGTTTTAAGAAATAAAATAATATATTTATTAGCACAAGCAATTTACTGGGTAAATAGCTAAAACACATACCGACTAATCGGTATGCCACAATATATATAATGAACAATATAATTACGACGAACACAATTTATAATGGAACGATATTTTGCACCTATAACATATGATGTAACATTAAATGTAAAAAAAAATTATAAAGTAATTTAAGATTAATTTTGTCTCTGTACATGATAATAATACAAGTATAACCTCATCCGCTTCCAATGTTTGTTTACTTGAATTTTCCTCACTTTGGTAGAAGAAGAAAGTATAATTAAGCATCGTTGTGATAAAAAAGCAACTTACAATGACGCTTCTCATATCAATATCATGCAAGCAATACACCCTTCCGCGGAAAGTACGTCACTTTAACTATAGAGCCTCGTTTTCGAGTAAGCGACATTAGTTAAAGCATGTCGTCCCAATCACTAAAACGAGGCCCTATAACCAAAGTGACGTACTTTCCAGAAGGATGTATTCGAGAGCGTTATCAACTCGTAATAAGAGAACAAAATCTGCGGCATCACCAACAATGCCGATTAACTGAAGAGTCAATTAGAGAACATTAAATTAGACAACCATTGTCCTTTGGACATTAATGAGGTTAATTTTATTAGAGAACAAAGTAGATGACGTTTAACTAGAAAAACATGCATGGGTGTGGCTGAATCCTCAACCATTTTAATTAAAAAGGGTTTAATTAGAGAACCACTGGTGTGGCTTAATCATCAATCCTAAATTTCAAATGAAAATATAAGTGACAACTAAAGTTGTAGGTAATTTCCAATTCTATCTATGGTTTTGAAGTTAATTTACACTTTATCGCTTAAACGCTTATGGGGCAATTTTAGATCAATGCACATCCCATGTACACTACACTTGTTGTAACAAAATAAAGGATTAAATCTGAAGTTGTGTTGTTCTATTTTCAAACCCTAACGAATTAATGTTGGTAATAATGTTTGAACCGTATGCGCTGTCAAAGTCGATTTCCCTGATTTAAGGCACTATTGCGTATGAGACAAACGTATGAGAAGTGTACAAAATTGAAATAATTTTCATGCGCACAAAAATCCCTTGAAATGTCAGCGTATGAGTGCCGTACATCTGGCGTACCTCTAGCGTATTCAGCGTGTGCCTAGAGTATTCTTATCGTATAAACCGTACGTCCGAATATGCACAAACGTTTTAAGCATGTTTTCGCCGGGCCCAGTCGCAGTATGCCAGCGTATACCACCGTATGCCAGCGTATGCGCGACCGTGCAGGCGCTTCAAATGTATACAACCTAATTAGTTAGCCTAACGTACCCCTAGCGTATGTCAGCGTATACCAGCGTATAAGTGATATTTTTCATATACGCTGGCATACGCTAGTACGATGTGCAATAGTGTGACAGGGCCTTAAAGTTGAAACCATTTTTAATATTTTCTCACACTATAATTTTTTTTCAAAATCCTCACTACAGGGTGTCTCAAAAAACATTTTAGAATTTGATCGATATTTTTAGAATTTGCACGATTCAGAACTGATCCTAAGGGTGCGTAAACACAATAGAAAGGAATTTCGTGCTTGGGGTGTACTGCATGTACAGGGTGTCCCAAAAAACCAAACCTATTGAAATAACGTATCTATTGTTAGAATTTGAATGCCTCAGCACTTTGCGGAACCCACAAGTGCATCAAAGCTTTACATAAGTAAACTTTATGCGTAAAGAAATTGTTTAAGAAGCTGCTTTAAATTCCCAAGAGCAGAAAATCGTGCTGGCTTTACAAAGATATTTTAATTTCCTAATAAGTCAATATTATTAGGGATTAATGAATTTATTAGAAATTAATGAATTTATATTAGCGATTCCCAGCAGCCTCTCGCGCTCGTAATCGACTTTTCCGCTTTGCTCGGGGGACAACCTTAATCGAAATAGCTGTATACATTTATTCAAAACAGCAAGCAGAAAAATTCTGTAGTAAAAATTTGCTGCAAGTTTTTGTTTGTGGAAACACAACGTTTCTTTATTATTGCAAAGCTTAAGGCCGTTTTCCACTTCAACCGTATCGTACCGAAACGTAGCGTATTTCTTTGTTTCCTGAGCACTAGAGTGGAACTAATGACTTCGACACAAAAGAAAATGCTACGCTACGTTACGACGAAAGTGGAAAGTTCATTGTTTTTGACGCCCGTCACGCGTGAGCAGATTTTCAAAGCCCGCTCTGCCCGCACGGGCAAAGCGACTGCAATGGAAACCGGCCTTAAAGGAGCAGTGTCACCTGGTGCGCATCTTTTCTGCGTATACCTATTGTTCGGTACCTAAAATACTCTCTCGAAGTCCTCTACGGCGAGCTCTACGGTAAGGAACTATACATATTTTGGCATATAATTTGTGAATCCGCTCGCGAATCCGCCATATTGACTTTTTCAAGTTCGCGTGCGCAAAAAAGATGCGCACCAGGTGACACTGCTCCTTTAAGGCCGGTTTCCACTCAGGAAAATTATCCGTGGATTGGAACGGACAAGAAAATTTTTCTTTGTCTTGTGAGCTCTGGGTTGGAACTAATGACTTTAACACAAAGAAAAATGTTCTTGTCCGTTCCAATCCATGGATAATTTTCATGAGTGGAAGCTAGCCTTTACGATCCGTATAAGCCCGCATCTTCTTCAGCTAGCCTTTACGATCCGTATAAGCCCGCATCCGGATGCTCTCATAAAACTTTACTGCAAGTCATTTTTTTGTATGTTACGTATAACACGCGCCCGAAACTAATGAGTCTTAAAAAAGATTCAAATGTTGGTTTGTTTCCACAGCTCTTGATCGTGAGTTTGTTTTAGTTTTACTGAAGCGGCACACAGAACGTAAACCCATAACTTTCTAGAGCATATGCGTGCATGTTTCCAATCTGGAGATCAAACCCTTTTGGTTTTCATCAACATTTGCTTGCACGGAATAACACCAGAAAATTAACAGACAAAAGATCTAGTAGATCTAGTAGACAGGTTTTGTTCGAACTATTGCCAAAACTATGGATTTAGTATTATGCCGCCGTCATGCATGTTGGTGTCTTTCAGAGAGGCACAAAATTAATATGGCGCCATAAAATTGTGCAAGAATTAGAGCAGATTATATCGTCAATATCCTGCACCTCAGATCTGTTTAGATATTATCTCAGATCTGTTTAGATATTATTTACAAATGCTATATATAATACCACTAGCGGTTATGACAACAGGTGGGAAATTTGTCTGAGCATGCGCGAGCAAAATGAGCCACGCAATTGCGTGGAATACACGCAACGCGTGTTTACAAAAAGCTGCAATTGTGTAAATATTGCCAAATGTTTGGTACAAAATAAATGACTGTTTTATGTTGAAAATGGACATGATCTAAATTAATCATACAGAATTTTTTAGTGATGTTCTATTTCAGTACCCTGCCATTGTCCGCCTAGCTGGTGTGCTGTCCGTGTGCATTCGATATGAAACAGTTGCTACTTTGCTGTCGAAAAATTTCGAATGTTTACATGAAAATAGAGACAAGTCATGCATTTTATAACCTCGTAAAATGTATGAGCCCATACTTTTACGCTTATACCTAAGATATCAAATAAAAATACATGAAACAGAGAACATTTTTAGAAAGTTTTATCGTGTGGCCACTGCCAGTTTTTAAAATATCCTCATTTCTTTTCCGGTCATCACCAAAATTACACTGAACTGTGAAGCCGGGCTTGAATATACAACAAATTTTGAATCTCATCAAGTGCAAAAATATTTAACGTGTAACCAAAATATGCTCATGAAATGGAAATTAAGAGCTAACTTTTCAAACTAGACCCTTCTCGAGGCGGTTTTCATGAAGGAAGTTCACCTTTCGGCTTTTGATTCTTGGCAAAAATTTGACCACAACACGTACGAAGCAACTGGGTCTCAAAGACTTAGCTAAAACTTTGTGAGCCCCTATTTTCCTGAAGATATGTTTGATACCTACAAACGCCGAAAAGGTTTTTCTTTTCATTTAGCTATATTTGAAATTGAGGCCACGGGCTATTTTTAAGAAAATACAGTTCAAAGTCAAGCTATTTTTACATATTTAAATTTCAATTTACATTTCATTCTCATATCACGTTTTTCTTCGTTTTTTACGGTTTTAAGCAAGCCATAGCTCGACGTATACGGTATTTACTCCCATGTTCACGTCGCCATATTCACTTCTTCCAATCACTCAATTACAAAACAAAATCATCCCAAAACAAAGAATTCATGATCGATTTTTAAAAGAATAACCGTTAATTTGTGAATCGTTGAATGGAAAGCAAAAAATCGTCAGTTAAAACAGCTTCTTGCTAACTTTCTGCTTTGTTTTGAATGTAAATGCAATGGAGCTTTGTTTCTGCCCGCGATTTTTTGGTCAGCGGCGACAAATTTCCCACCTGTTGGTTAATATGACTACATTCAAAATTTTTATTTTTCGACACGTTTCTCAATCGGCAAACAAACTTAAAAAGTATGCTTAAGGCTTTATCTGTAAAATAATGAAGAGATTTTATCTGTAAAATGATGAAGAGACTTTATAGACGGTACGCCAAAGAGAAAATGATGTCTGACGCTCAGTAAGTTTTGCTTATATTGCTGGCGTCACTTTTAAAAGCATCAATGATAAATTTTGAGAGGTACGCCAAAAAGATTTTCGGTTTTGAACACTTATGGTAAATACGGGACATAGAAAAAATTGCCGCTTAATCATATCACTGGTTGTGTGAGCGAGCTGCGAGCGCCTCCTCCCCCCGTAAAGTGGACGTCACATCGTTCAATAATTATTCTGGCATTGACAACCGAGTCCATATTATTCGACAGAAATACGCGTCATCGAACCTCTCTCCTCCGCAGAGGCTTCTGTTGGCTATGATTACGATTAGTATTGAGATACAGTTCACTACACTTTCCACGGCGGATCTTGGAACACGAGTGGAGCCGCTGGGCGAAGAAGCGCAGGCGGGAAAGGGCGTCATCCAACCGAGAGATGCTGATCAATAGGATAGGCAATGCATTAATAAGGAACTTAACGGGAATAAAGTACAAAAAGTTTATTATTACAAGAAAAGAATATTATAATTCTATATCATTATATCTATTTTGCATTACAAATATACTGCAGTTGACTACAGGGTGTCCCAAAAAAAACCGCAAAACCATTGAAATAACGTATTGTTAAAATTTGAAAATGCCCTAGCACTAAGCCAAACCGAAAGATGCGTAAAATATTGACAAGGGTGCATATACTAAATATTGACTTTTAAAAAATTAAAATATCTTTGTAAAGCGCACGATTTTCTGCTCTCTTGGGAATTTAAAACAGCTTCTTAAACGGTTCTTTATGCATAAAATTTACATACGTCAAGATTTGATGCACGTGTGGGTTCAGCGGAGTGCTGAGGCATTCAAATTCTAACAATTAACATTTATTTAAACAATTTTCGGGTTTTTTTGGACACCTTGTATACTGGCAAAGTAACTTAAAGAATACAACATTTGAACGACACATTCTTCTATATAAATAATAAATCATGTTTCCTACTTAGTAGGTGTCATAATAAATTATTTATCGCACATGCAGTAAGTGACTAAATTTGTAATCATATATGCTGACTACATGTATATAGTTAACGAGAATAAACCAATGTACAAACAACTGCTTACAGTAATGTATCCTGTGCATTGTATACAACAATACAAATTCCAGCAACGAATGTCAATAAACAAGAGTACATAAAACAAAGAAATTGAGAGAAACAAACAAAGAAGCCACAACAGGTATCATTCTTACAACACATCCACGCATATTCAAATCTGATCTGAACAAGAATATATACATTTCGGATCGGATAATTATAAGTATAATAATTTGGTACTGTATATATATAAAGTAAAAACAACTGTCAGCCAAATTTTTTTTATTGAGTTTTTGACAATGTATATCCATGCGAATATATATTTATAAAATAAATCCTCAGTCATATTCTTATAAGTAAATGTTTTACAATAAAATTTCTAAATATAGATCCATTCAACACAGCAAAAAGAACCCCTGGGTATTTTGACTCAAACACTTGAGTAACATAATACGCCCACACAAAAAAATGAGTAAATCTGCGCCTAAAATTCAGTAATTTTACACAAAATTTTGAGTCACTGCAGTAGGTGCACTATTTTACTCAAAATATATTTTAGTCAAAATATACAAATATATAAGGCATTTTTGCAGCCCGTTGTTGGGAGGTTTTGAGTAATATTTTGGCTATAGGAATATAGCTTTCAAATATATGTTTACATTGTTATCACCAATTAAGCTATACTGGAAAGTGACCGTTGTGTGTCCGTCATATGGAGGCCCACTCAATTCTGCAGCAAAGATATTGTGTTGAATAGTTTGTGTATGTAGGTTCTGGTTTTCTCCCGTGCAGGATGGATTATAGGAAGCAATATGGGCATAAAACGTAATAATCTAGACCTATAGCACGTGATATATATTCATTCACTACCCATGGTGTCATCGGCCAGCCAGAACCTCGACTGAGGAGTCTACAATTCTTCGTGAGGGATTTGAATATACAATTACTTTATGGTTTCCGTGTTTGGATGGCCTGATCCAAACACGCGGGAATGTTGCGAGAGTTAAGAAAAGCGCGCGAACACGAGCCGAAGGCGAGTGATTTTGTGCGCTTTTCCTAACTCGAGCAACATTCCCAAGTGTTTGGATCAGGCCATCCTAACAGGGAAACCATGAAGTAATTGTTTTATAAAATAACAACAACACGATAGTCTTCCGTGTTTGGATGGCCTTATTCAAACACGGGTTTCGACCAATCAGAGCACGCGTTATATTCATGTTATTTTATAATCCTAGTTGATGCATGGATTTTATTTGTCTTTGTTCATCAAGATTTAAACATTTTACAAACAATGTTTTGTCTGAAGTTAATCGTCTTGATGTGTCAAAATCCTGATGTACATAAATCAGCCTCGTACCCAGGCGCAAATAACGTACTAAAAATAGCAACACTACAGTGTTTTTATACAGATCAGTGGCTAAGATGAGCGAGCGCGCGGGGGTGCTTGGGGAAGACGCGGGAAACGAAGCTACGAAGCTGCAGACCCCGTCGTGTACTCCCCAAGCAACCTCGCGCGCTCGCTCATCTTAGCCACTGATCTATATAAAAACACTGTATTGTTGCTATTTTTAATACGTTATTTGCGCCTGGGTTCGAGGCTGTACATAAATGTTCTTCTAAACTAAGTGATTACCCCAAGTGATAATTGCATGTTTTCGTTTTGATTGTCACTACTTGAAAAAGATAAGAAAACGTCGACTCGAGCAAAGGCTTTTCCTCTTCATGGTTACTATAACATCCACACAAAGGATGGATTTAGAGCCTTATCTCAAAACGGTTTCTTCATCTCTTTCAGGTAAGTATGATCAAAACGGAGACAGTTTAAAGAACATTACACAGTCCTGTCTCCTTCGAATCGTCAGGCAATTACAGGTTTTGCAGAACATTAATAAATAATGACGAATCGTTTCAGTTTATAATGTAGTCATGATGACGTTTATACTCACCCACCCACGTTTGTAAATAAGTGTGATTTGAATTGGCTAAATGTGTATCCACACAGGATGTTTACAGAGTTCTATTAATTCAAAATTGCAAAAAACTTCCTTGTTCTGCAGATATCAATGGCGTTCTTTTATAAACTTACGCATGCAACAAAAACTAAAGCAATCACGTGCATGTCGGTTAAACATTCATTTCCGAATGCAAATGTGGTAAACCACGGCAGGTGTCGGTTGGTATGAAGGTTAAGGAGAGCATTGTCTGACGTCAAGTCCAAATTAAGTGTTTTTCTTTTGCATGGCCTGTAGTTACGACGACTGAGTCAAGAAACTGGTCTTTATCTTTTACAGTTTGGATCGATTTTCGAAAAGGACTTGCCTTCAAATATCAAAGTTATCACCGAGTGTAAGTTATAAATAGAACTATGGCTATAAAAAATTGTAGTTATACATAAAGCAAACTAAACAACAGTGTCAGTGAGTAATATACGTCTGTACATGCAAGAAGAATAAAGAAATTGGAATGTTTTTGAGACATGATTAAAACACTTAGAGAAAGTGTATATATAAGCAAAATAACAGCGAGCTATGATTCACTCACTAAATGTCTTTAAAGGCATATACTGATTAAGTATACCGCAGTAAGGTCGAAAGAAGTGCGCAGCATGAGTAACTTTAAATTTATCAAAGAACATCGTCTCTTTCACGTATATACAGCTCATACAGTTATATTTATTTATACTTATAATTTGCTATACCGCCTAATTCAAGGCAACGAAAACAACATATGTGTAATATACAGTATTAATATCTATATTCCATGATGAAAAAATTACTTGAGCCGAAAAACTAAAAAATATAAATAGTATCGTTTTTCAGCTAGCAGACTTCGTTATTTTTAAAGGTAACAATACGAAAGTTAAGGCGTACGTGCGCACAACAACTCGCCATAGTAACCAAAATTTATTATTACTTTATCTTAATATGGCCACCTATTGTTTTCAATATTTACTGATTTGTATTTGTGCTATATTTGGAAATATAGTATTCAAAGAATTGGTTTTCCATCGTCCATATACTAGATATGGGCCAGCGAAATTAACGTCAGCGTTTTTGTATAATTTCGTTTAAATTTCCGCTCTAAATTAATGTTCTGCGTTGATACCTTCAGATATTATATTACGGTAGTTGTATCTTCTCAACCATGATGTTATTGAAATTATCATCTATATATATTCATACCAACAGATCATCAAAGAAAAATGCAAGTAATATTGGTCTTCGCTCTCACCACCCTACAGTTCCTGGTAAATATTGTGCTGTCTGCAAACGCCGAAACCTATGCTATTCCCCTATCCTTAAACTCAGTCATACAAAGTCCAATAGAACTGAGTGGGACGTCCAACGTTTTATACAACCAAGATCCTGATTTTTACTCTTATGTGACCCTTACAGATGTTTCACACGACACTGGTCAAGATTTAAAAGAAATAGTTACAAAAAAATTAAGTGTTGTCCTTTATACAGTAGTGTCTTCGTATATAGGCGGAACACTTAAAAAAATCCATCTCCAGTATCTCAGTGGGAGTAAATGGTCCTACAGTATCCCTGTCGAAGAATTAATCGCCGCTTCTGAGGGAAGTATCACAAAGCTCAATCAAGAAATGGAATTATACGTATTTCAGGAACTTGGAATGAAATTCTTAGAAAAACGGTACAATTTTAATATGAGTGACATTCAAAATCAACTTGGCCTTAGCTTGATGGAATTTTTCGGCGCAAGTGAAGAGCAATGGATCAAGATAGTGGGTTTTATAACTGAAGAAATGATAAGTAGAAGAAGTATAGAGTTGGACTTGACTCCATGTTACCTGGCTGAACTTCTCAATAAAACTGAAAAAAACATTGCAGCGTTTACACTCAACCAAGTTGACGAACACATCTATAACATCAGCTCACTCCAGAAAAAACTACCAGAGTTTAAAGAAACCGTTTTAGCAACAACATTTAATGTCACACCTGCAGACCTTGCCAATGTAAGCGGATTGAATATCACAACGACAAATTCTATGGGACTACAAGATCAGATCCAACTACTTACTAACAGCATATTGGAGCGATTCCATCTTTCCATCGACGAAATTGCCACAAAGTACAAAAGATCAACTGATGATATCCTAACTCCTTGTCCAGATGAATGGAGATCGCTTCAAACCTTGGTCGTCCAAGAAGCTTTTGAAAAGCAGGCAACAAATATGTCACTCGCCAACAAAACACTAGCGTCGCTAATTCAAATTCCGTATCCTAACATAAGCAAGCTCTCGTTGGACCAACTGGAACACCTGATCGACACGAAGATAAGAGAGATAAAAGAGAAGAAAAATATAATCGAACAGAAAAAAGATATGTTGATGAACACTGGCAGCCAGTCTGATGTCGTGAATCTAGAAGAAAATGCCTTCTCGATTATTGAAGCCGTTACAAATTTCTCCAAAAGCGAATTGTCCTTAATTTATGGCTGGGACGATTCCCATTACGTCTTTGCTGAAATGTTCTCAGTTGCCGACCTTGTTCATTCGTGCTCATCTAAACTCCACAATTACACGTTGTTCGAATTAGCCAAGATTAATGCCGGTGAAGAAAGTGGCATGTGCAACACATTCTCTGCACTACGAAAAATTTGGGAAAAAGCAACAGTACATGAGATAGAACACAGATTCGGAAACCAACTCAGTAATTCAACCATAGAGAACATGCTTGTCTCTCTTACAGGAGGAAATCTAATTTTCATTGACCGTATACTCAATTTAAGTGCAGATGCTCGAGCACTCTGTTCAAACGTCACCTTAGACCATATTTCCATGGCAACGTCTCATCCCACAATGCATCTCAAACAGATGTCATTCCAATATATCATTGATCTTGCTGAAGAACTAAAGGCAAATGGAACACTTTTTCAGAACGCAAAAATGGTAAGTTAAGACATACCTTAATTCACCGGCCTAATTCATGCATATGTTAATCGACACTGCTGTAAAAGTACAAAAATACTCACGAAACGACATCCTGATCTTGACGTTGAAATATAGTTTTCATTGTCAAAATCGACTGTGCCGTGTCTATTACGCAAGGAAATTCAGTTTGATACTATTACTTGGTTAGTTGGTAAAATGATTGATAGTTGCTATAGAAAAGAAGGTTAGTTAAAGTTGACTAGTTGATTTTAGTTAGATGGTTAAAGACGTGCAGAAATAGACAAGCTAAAACAGCGGGCTAAATTTTAACCCAGGGTTAGCGCTAACCCTCCTTTGAATAACCGGCCCCAGGATAAGATGGCTAATAAGTTAGTAGGTTGGTCGAATTGGCTAACTCATGCATGGGCGTTCACTGCGGGGATAGGTTTAGGGTGAATGCAGGGTTTTATTAAGAGATTACGACACCGGATACCAACTTTATCAAAAGCGACGTAATCAAACCCTGGTCAGAGACACTAGTGAGTTCCATCTGTAGTTCGTGCATATATATTTTACTTTTCACAACTCATGGATTTATTGGATTGCTCATAGATTATTTGAGGGCCATCTGTTAGATAACTGCAAAATATGTCAACCTCCTCAAATAAAGGCATAAAGCATAAATGAATATTGTTTATACTGTAGTTGACTTTTCTTTATCTTCACTTTACAGACAACTCCAATCAGTCCAGTGACATCAAGGATTGTATATTCAATGCATATTTCTATCAAACCGACAGTTACCATCAATACAAAATCCTTAATAGCGACCAGGAATAAAACACACACTGTTTTACCACAATATTCATCCACAAAAGGTATAATATTTAAAATTATACGTGTTTCTTCTCTATATTGCCACAATATTTACTGCATGTAGAAGTTATTGAAATGTAATTATATACAGGACGGTAATGGCAAAAACTCCATCGTTGCACTATAGTTTTTTCCGTCTAAACTGATTGATTCGTGCAAGGTGGATATGATAGCATCAAGCATTGCTCCCTCTTGCATTTTCCACTCCTGCTAATAACAAAGATTTTCAAAATTGGGTTCCGCCAATTATCATGCCTGGTATTGCCTATTCCCTCGTCCAGAATTAAAGTTAAATAACACAACTACTTTATTCATACCGCACATAACAATGTTGCATAATTTGTAGTTTCAACAAACAACAATAATGCAAAAAGAATCGCCAACTCCACTGTTACTATTGGATTCGTGAATGCTACGATTCAACACAATTCAACAAGAATGTGTGCATTATTTGTTAATAAATTTCCTCACAATTCTCAACGTTACCGTGGATAACTTATGAGTCTCTTCACTCTCTTGAAACATCGACCTTCAGTGATGTTCACATCACTTGATCAGAAGACAAGGCGTATATTTGTGCATTTTAATTTTCTATAAAATCTAACTTTGTCAAAATTTAAACAGTGGTGTTGGGTGAAAATCACTCATTCATTATTAGTTTACATTAGTTGAACTATTTAGTTTTAAAAACGTTATGAACCAGTCACTGTATTAACGGCACAAGCTAAGAATTTGGTTGTCGTCCTCGAAATCGTAGAACGTTTTGTTGAACTTGTTTTCTTAAACTTTGTATACCATTTTAACATCTTATTCTACAACAAATTACGCTATTCTATACAGAAATAAAACCCGTGTTTACACTATACCAGCCTAGGGTCTGATCTTGATTGACTGACTGACTTATTCAATCAACCAACCACCGTAACCCAAACCAGGCCAGTAAAAATAGCAACGTCCTGTAGCACAGCAGCAGATTTCTCATGTATACTATTTTATTCCCATTGTATTCATAATATCATGTTCAAACCCCCTTACAATGTTACGTAACACCTTGTGAATCTAATACACCATGCAGATACGATTATATGGGGATATATAACTATATGCCTTTTATTGCAATGGGTATCAAATGCAGCACTGTTTTTTGACAAGGATTGTAGACTTCCAGTGAAAACACAGCTATTGGTTATGTGTACTGCTATATATAGCCTACCACTATACTGTCACCAATATGGCCCCACGACTATTATTAATACCATTATATTACCGTTAACAATATCCCCACAGGTGACCGCGAAGCCTACTGTGGTCAGATAATTTTAATATATACCATTTATATCAACTGACTTTTTTTTTTTATTCAGCGAAAAACGCCCCCTGCTTCACGGTCCCTGCCCACGGTCATGAACCATGAAAATTATCCACTCAAGCAAAGGAGTAAAACAAGCACAGCATTTTCCTTGCAAAGTGGTTTTGGGCCAGCTGCAAAGGCAGTGATTTATTTGCCACAGTTCGTAACCCATCACAAAAACTATAAAACCAGAACAACAACATACAAACTAAAATTTTGTTGACATCTTTATTCAATTAGACATAATGACGACAACAAGAATAGTGAATTCAACTTCAGGACCTACTTCTAGTTCTGGATCTACTTCAAGTTTTAGACCTACTTCTAGTTCTGGACCCACTTCAAGTTCTGGACCTATTTCTAGTTCTGGACCTATTTCTAGTTCTGGACCTACTTCAAGTTTTGGACCTACTTCTAGTTCTGGACCTACTTCTAGTTCTGGACCCACTTCAAGTTCTGGACCCACTCCAAGTTCTGGAACTACTTCTAGTTCTGGACCTACTTCTAGTTCTGGACCTACTTCAAGTTCTGGACCTACTTCTAGTTCTGGACCTACTTCAAGTTCTGGACCTACTTCTAGTTCTGGACCTACTTCTAGTTCTGGACCTACTTCAAGTTCTGGAACTACTTCTAGTTCTGGACCTACTTCAAGTTCTGGACCTACTTCAAGTTCTGGACCTAGTTTCGCACCTGTGAATTCAGCACACAAACCATTCATTAAAGGTACGTTAAATGAATTTTAATTCCATGTATTATCTTAATAACTTAAAATGAATTTTTGCTGTGTTGGTGTATATAATGTACTCAGGTGAATAAGATGCTTGTGAAGTTACTCTGAGTGTATATCCACACCGGGCAGGCTTGCAAAATATGGCTGGCCACGGTGGGAATCGAACCTACAACCTTTGTAACATCACTTGTAAGCATCTTATTCACCTGAGTACATTACACCAACACAGCAAATATCATGATTATTAGATTACACTGATATCGAAGGAACTAGACTCAAGCCCCGTCTACCTAAATAGGTAGTCCAAGAACCAAAAAAGTGGTACGGGTACCAATTTTATCGGTGCCGTACCAAAAATTGAGCGTTGTGTGAACGGGGCTTCAGTTCCGAAATATTACATACTCGAACCGACCTGACCGCGTAGCTCAGTTGGCACAGCATTGGGCTAGTATTCAAAAGGTCGCAGGTTCGATTCCCACCGTGGCCAGGCATAAGCCTGCCCCGGTGTGGATATACACTCAGAGTAACATCACAAGCATCTTAAAATGAATTATTATACATGTATAAAGTTTTAATTTCGAACACTGCGACAGTGACATGTGAGTCGGCAATTTGCTTTCCATGTTTATTTGAAATATTATTAGAAATTTATCAGAAATATTGCCTTTTAGCACGTCGGATAATTACCAATTATTCTTTTTTAAACAAGTGATAAAACAGCCAAGATTGTATAACAATAAAACTTTTCCTTTTCTATAGGATCTATTTTAATGCTGATTTTATTCTCATCAATGTATCTGGCATTAGTATGAATTTGAAGAATATTCAAGATGCAAATCATTCTTATAGTTTATGTTAGAAAGCTATAGTTATCATCTCGTTAGTAAAATAAACAGAATTACTTGAAACACGAAAGATATCTTGCATGCTTTTGAGGGCTGGAAACCTCACATGAGCAAAAAAGTCGAGTGAGTAAAAAAAATCGAGTGAAATACCGTAGTGTGAATTGACCCTTTCCTGAAATGAATACTTCTGGACGTATAGATAAATTGCTGTAAAGACGCTATTAATTCATAGGACGAGTTAAATAGTCTATTTGACAGTCATTAATATTATTTACAGTCTTAGCTAACTATTATACTCATTTTCACTCCGCTGCCTACCCCACCCATTTCAATGCATCATTTTTTTAATTTTGCGACAGTTTCTTGTGGGGCCAATAATGAACAGGCAGCACTATACGGATATTTGGCCTATGAAATTACGGTAAATATCAACAGTTTTTGGCAAAGGTTATTGACGCTATTATGCCCGCCGTGGTATTATTGTTTTAATATACTATCATTATATAATGTATGCATGTCTATATAACTGTAATTTTAACGAATGCCACAAATTGCCATGTTTATACATGGAACTCGATTCTGGAAAACTGGAAAGTCTGCAATCTTGGCAAAAATACTGTTGAAAGTAAAATCTAAACTAAAAAATAAATCATCAAAAAACATTTATTTGCACATTGCATTAGCCATTTTACTGTCATCAAAATTGACTAAAGGATGAACCGAGGAGGTGCATGATGTGCACGAGAGAAGAAGCTCAAAAGATGTTTGTGCACGCGCTGTCGCACAAAGTTTTGCCACGATTGCAGCATCATATTGACAGTATATGGAAAATTAACCGGTACAGAGTAAAATATCGTAATGCTAATTTTTGACAAAGACTTTTTGGCATGAATGCTAAATACAATTCTATTAAAGGATAATGCACCTATCAAAGTTAAGCCACAGGGTGGGAGGTCGGGCATATGTGGCGCATTTGATTTGTTATGCAATTTTGTGGTCAAATTCCCTATACCATGCATGGGGAAGCAAATATCAGTCAAATGTGATCAAATGCCCTACTGTTGGGCACACATATTTGTGGTGAAAGTCTTGAAAGTCGTTTGTCCCAGTCCTCAATACGTGCTCTTCCTCAGGATGCAAGATGGCGCTCAAATATCCCCACCCTCAGGAGATGGTGTCGATCAAATTTCCGAGGGTGGGGAAACAAAAATCGATCAAATGCCCCACATATGCCCGACCTCTCCCTCTGGGGCTTAATATTGATAAGTGCATAAATAATGTGAAATAATTATTTTTTAATTAATTATTGTTTAAATTAACCTTTAAATTCATATTATCTGGCACTGGACTATGTTTCATAACTCTTCAAACACTCATTAATAATTCATAAGCTTATTGGCAAATCTATGAGGCGCCAAATATGACAAAATAGATCGTAGTTGTGTGATATATATTACTGCAAATATATACAGTATAACTCCTGATGAATAGGTTACTCTTCCAAATATATAAATATTGAAAGCGCGTGATATACATCACAACTCATGGTTTATATCACAACTCGTGATATAGATCACAATTCACAATGCAGCTCGTGATATACATTACAACTCATGGTTTATATCACAACTCGTGATATATATCACAATACACAATGCAGCTCGTGATATAGGTTACAATTTTGCGTTCGGAATTACTTCATCTTATGACCCATATAGTGGACGGATGGGCTATTTTATTATCTGTGGGGAGAGGCGTAGTCACAATATTGTTTCAAACAAGGGTTTCAAAATGGCGCCATGAATGCAAGCCTGCCAAGCCCAGAAATCAACATCGAAGCTTTCTTGAGAAATATTCCAAATCAAATTACAGAGACTCGTCGTCAATTATTTTGTGATAATATCAATGCCGTTGAGTTTATCGAGCGACGCCAGAAAGACAATTTATTTGTTGTAAATATACTTCTCCAGCGTGCAAATATAGAACGCATCGACGATCGACAAATTCAGAATGATCTTGGTATTTTGGTGTCTGAATTGCAATCATTGAGCAATAGTTATTAGTTGCGATGCGCTTTGGATCAGAAATGAGAACTTAGCTAACTCACTGAGTTTTAATACTTATAGAGGAGTTGTTCAAAGAGGAAGAAGACGATACAGTCTTCCGCAGAATGCTTTGACCAACTTACATAGGATACACCGCAGATGTTCTCAAGTTGCTGTGGAAATTGGATACGACGCGTTCTAATAAATTGTCTTTCAGGCGTCGTTCGATAAACTCAACGACATTGATATTATCACAAAATAATAATAATAATAATAATAATTTATTCAAACAAAGTCCCAATATTGGGACATAGAATACATGGGTAAATAACTAATTGAATAAGTCGTTACGGTCTATAACAATAACATAGATATTAATATATATGAAAAAAGTTGATAAATGTATAAATACACATACATACACACGCACACGTGAGTAATTAGACCAGGCTATCAAAAGCAGCCAAAACGTCGAAACAATATTTGCCTACTAACTTCATTATTGACTTATCCTTCATAGCCATAATATATATAAATAGGTTTTCCGAAGTAAATAAGTTGAAAATAAGTAAATAAGTTTAAATAATTGAGCCTCTGTATTTTGATTTAGCCCGTCCGTCCACTATATGGGTCATAAGATGAAGTAATTCCGAACGCGAAATTGTAACCTATATCACGAGCTGCATTGTGAATTGTGATCTATATCACGAGTTGTGATATAAACCATGATTTGTAATGTATATCACGCGCTTTCAATATTTATATATTTGAAAGAGTAACCTATTCATCACGAGTTATACTGTATATATTTGCAGTAATATATATCACACAACTAAGATCTATTTTGTCATATTTGGCGCCTCATACAAATCATGTCAACCAAAATATATCACGTGCAGTGGCTTTAAACCTGATAAAACACTCCTAATTAGTATTCTTTATAATAAAGAATACAATAAGGAAGTATCTATTGCATGTAGCTAGTTGTGTCCTCATTAGTATTCTTTATATATAAAGAATACTAATAAGGCAGTATATCTATTGAATTTGTAGTCGTGTTTGAAGCCGTTTAATAAACTCGCAGGTCGTGTTTTATTAGGTCTAGGCTTTAAACCTAATACCCTATGGGCAATACATTCTTACACTATATTGATAGCGAGTCACAAACAGTGATCCCATTTGTTTAATTAAGGATGCATGATTTCTCGTTCTCCCAAGCTGCAACGCGTGTTTCTACAGTGTGTATAAAAAACAAGGTAATCCAGCTTTAGAGTTCTCTTAGGCCCGTTTCATACGCCGTACTTCACATGTGCCGAATACATTAAAGACAATAGATAATGAGCTGAAATGCCTCATTATCTATTGTTTTTAATGTATTCGGCAGATGTGAAGTACGGCGTATGAAACGGGCCTTACATGTGCGCTCAATATTAAGTGCAGATTAGGGTTTTAGCTTTCGAATGACACCTTTTCTGTTTCATTTCAAGCAAAAATGATATTATTCTACCACAATCACTAAGTAGTAATATAATGAGTGTCTATAGTGGCTATATTCCGCCCATTTAAATTAAAATCCTAAGTCTGTATAAGCCTATAGCCCTACAATCGTTGACAAAACTCTTCGGGCAGTGGGGCATATGGCACCCTCTTAACTCCTGTGCCCCCTTAACAATATTGTGTTATGGCCAGTTGTACCATAACTAGCGCAATATACGTTCTCGATGAAAACATGATACCATACAACAACATTGTTTAGGGGGGGAGGTGGTATATTTAGCTATTATGAATCTTAATTATATTTGGAATCAATGAATTCTTCAAAATGCAGTTTTTCAAATTGCCCAAACATGTTTTGTCAATGCATGATTGTAATTTCTGCATGCATGCATTCATGCATGCACATGCAGCCAATTCCGCACGCCATTCCGCATTTTAAGGCCAGTTACACTTGCAATTTTTGGTGCGATTTCAGTTGCGATTTTCTTCTTCTCATGGATGTGAACGAGTGGATAAGTCATGAATGTTCAGATGAAAGTGCACGCAGTCAGAAGGAGAAAATCGCCGGTGTAAACGGGCCTTTTAATTAGGGTCGGCCATGCAAGGGTTTTGGGTATACAGGATCTAATGGGTATTTAATTTGAGTATACTGTATATTTACTTAAATGTTATGACTAATTTTGGGTATTAGGTATACAGCTTCTGGTTGTTTTAGGTATTTTGTAACATTTGGACCGTAATAATAGGTATTTTGATCCATATTTATCAGGTATTTAGGATACCACTACCCCCCCCCCCCTGGCTGACCCCTTTTAATAATTATATATTCACAACTTCTACCTTCGTCATATATATGCATTTGCGACAACGCAATTCCTGTTTCTCTATGTCCTAGCCTTATTCATAAGAATGCTTCAAATGGTTAGACGGCCACGTCACTTCCTTGTAGCACGCTTACAGCGGAGGAGAGCACGTATATAACGGATTAGTAATTTGTGGATTCTCTGTATGGTTTCAACGTATTAGACCTTGGATAATATCAGCTCGGCTATACGATACATTAGGATTAAACTAAAGAATATCATTGCTCTACGCTGTGCAAAAGGAGGAAATTGATAATGGATCAAAGAGTAGACTGGATAAAAACGACATAAAAACACTCAGATATATACGAACATTAATCAAGAAGCACTTGGAAATTTAATTAGTCAACGCCAGTATAATCAATGTTATATCATCTTAATCAAATATATATACAATAAGCTGCGCATCTGCGACAAAAGCAACTAAAAATATACATTACTGAAAGTCTTTTAAAACTGCCACAAGCTGCCACAAAAACATACATATACAGAAATGCAGTTCTTATAATAACACCGAAGACAATCGTGGATATAATGAAAAGACAATGTTTTATATCACCACGGGCAAACAAACATAAAGAAAAGAAAACATATAGCTACTTCATTGCAATGCCAACGAAAACTCGATCAATGAATGTCTCAAAAAATCGATCAATGAATGTCTGCCGATGCATCCAATATTTATGTCCACTTATGCGTATCAACTATATATATATACTTTCATTTTAAAAATTGACTACCTATATATCTCTGCAGGCGTTATTTTTAGGCTAGCCTATTAATTTTTGCTCGCGACGAAAACGATCAATACAAAACGTTTATTTTTGTCAGAAAAATAAATGAAAAAAACGAAATGCTACTTAGCGGGTTTGATGAATTTTGAATAAGACAGGCTATCGTTCCATGTTTCGCGCACCAATATAGTAAACGTCATGTAATCTGTACTATAGTGTACCATATAGATAAACATACACTATTGTACATATATACTACACTATACAAGACTATACGACACTATACAACACTATACAAGACTATACGACACTATACAACACTATACAACACTATACGACACTATACAACACTATACAGCACTATACGACTCTATACCACTCTATACGACTCTATACAAGACTATACGACACTATACGACACTATACAACACTATACAACACTATACAATACTATACGACACTATACAAGACTATACGACACTATACAAGACTATACAGCACTATACAACACTATACAACACTACACAAGACTATACGTCACTATACAAGACTATACGACACTATACAACACTATACAACACTATACAACACTATACAACACTATACAACACTATACAACACTATACAACACTATACGACTCTATACAAGACTATACGACACTATACAGCACTATGCAACACTATACAACACTATACAAGACTATACAAGACTATACGACACTACACAACACTATACAACACTATACAACACTATACAGCACTATACAACACTATACGACACTATACAAGACTATACGACACTATACAACACCATATAAGACTATACAGCACTATAAAACACTATACAACACTATACAACACTATACAACACTATACGACACTATACAAGACTATACAACACTATACGGCACTATACAACACCATACAGCACTATACAAGACTATACGACACTATACAACACTATACAAGACTATACAAGACTATACGACACTATACAAGACTATACAAGACTGTACGACACTATACAACACTAGAAAACACTGTGCAACACTATACAACACTATTCAACACTATACAACACTACACGACTCTATACGACTCTATACAAGACTATACGACACTATACAGCACTATACAAGACTATACAAGACTATACAAGACTATAGAAGACTACACGTCCCTATACAAGGCTATACAGCACTATACAACACTATACAACATTATACAACAGTATACAACACTATACAACACTATACAACACTATACGACTATATACAAGACTATACGACACTATACAGCACTATACAACGCTATACAACACTATACAAGACTATACGACACTATACAACACTATACAACACTAAACAATACTATACGACTCTAT